CGAAGGTCGAAAAATTGAATTTGTTAAATGTTCAAACACTAAATTCTTCATAACTTTGGTAAAAATTAAGATATTTGAAGAAACAAAAATTCGTTTTGAACTTAAGGGATGTGACTATTGATTCCCAGAAGGGGGTAAGAGAAATCCCAAAATTGGGCATATGGCGGAAGGGCAAAGTGTACCGCAAGCCTAATTTCATTGTTTGACTATAACGGCCAAACTATTTAAATTTATTTAATGCCACTTACAGAGCTTACTCTTAAATATGAAATCTTATACGTGTGTGAATTTTACCGAAATCGGATTATAATTGGCCAAGATATCAAACAATTTAACAAATTTTTTTCCCTAAAAAAAAACTTTTTTCGAAAGTTTGAAGTGGCACAAAAATGCCAAAAATGCACCCAATGACTCAAAACTTTTTTTTTGAATACTCTATTATGTCTAGAATACGATTACATTACGGAAAATTCTACAAAAAAATATTTTATCTATTTTTTTGACCACTGTTCATTGAGTGACGACCAAAAAACAGGGTTTTTGAGAAAAGTTGCCTAAAATTGACGATTTTTAGTTTTTTGGTCTGAAAATTGAGTAAACCCAAATCTCATGTCGTCTGAATGTGTATACAAAGTTTAAAGTGTGTATGTTTCTTCTAAGTTGTAGAATTCTCCCGACAAAAGTCCCATTACACGCGCTCCGCGGGATCCAAAACTCGTGCATTTCTGTAATTTGATTTTTTTGTGATTTCCAGTTTTAAATCTCTTACATACCTAAATTTATTAGGCCTAAAATTTATTAAATTGTATTTTACTGACTTGTTGTAAGACGTTTCTTGAGTTTTGTGCAAAAAATAGAATTACCGCAAAATTAGCCGGATGTCGTATCAAGGATAGTCATGGTCTCGGCTTTCGCTATCCGACAAGTTTAAACTTGAAACGGTCATATTATTACAAATTGAATCGCTTGATAGTGTATATCGGCATAGATTTTTAATAACCGTGTTCAGCAAGCTCTGTGTACACGTGGTTTTTCGGATTTCTTCAGCAATTTATTAAGTAAGTACGTTCTTAAATTAAGAAAATTATATCACAGTGCTATAATTTATTTGTTTCTAGGTTGCAATGGCTGAATGTATGTCATCAGAAACTTGCAGAGGATGAACTTACCCCAATTAGACCGACAGGATTGAAAGGTCTGCAGATGGTCAGCAAAGAGAGAGGGGATGATTTTTTCAGTTCTTTAGAACCATGTTTTATATTGCATGAAAGGTGTCGCAAACATAACGTATCTCGACGTTACGGAAAAGAGTTTATTTATAAAACCTGGGATAGGCATAAAAGGGCCGCGATTGACAATGCCAAAAAAAAGGAGGATGGAGCATCAACCGAGAAGAAAACCAGATGTTAGAGAACAAAAAACAAGCTTATCACCAAATTGGAACTTACACTCAAGCTTAGGATTAATTTCCTAACATTTTTAAAGTATACCTTTTTGTATATTTTTTTGTGCTCTTTCCGATGGCGCAGTTAGTTTCTTCAAACATATTTTTTGTTAGATGTTTTCGGAAAACCCGGAGAAAATCATATGGGAAAAAAATTTAAAAAAATTTACGCCTTCCGGTTTCCTGCGAATTCCCGAAAAATTATGGCAGATTTCGCCGCGGGACTTATTTTATTTGAGAGCCCACAAAAAAATACGCAACTTCTCTTATGGGCACATATGTCTAACATTTATAATTTCGCCACAAATTCATCGCAAATTTCATGTTCATAATTCTGATCAAAGAAACGAAAAAACAACTTTTTGGTAAAAGCACTTCTGGCGGCGAGAAATTCGCCATTAAAACTACCTGTGCAATGAAATTCCGAACTATTTTTGCCTCCTCTTTCGATTGGTGCATTTATTTTTACTATCAGAATGATACTTGCCCAGATAATTAGCATTTTTACCATGGAAAATTCCGGAAAACCCGGTTTTTCCTAATTTAAAAAAAATTTAAAAACTGCTACATCATTTTTTTCTTTTTTTCGGAAAGATCACATCAAAATACACAAGGTCCACTTTGTTTCATCCAATTACAAATTAATGTAAGCTAGAAGGGGATTTTTTCGTTATTTAATTGGACTCTATTGGCTTATTGTGTTTTACCCCATGTTAGTTCATAGCACCCACTCTGTCACCTTTATACCTTGTACAAGTTTGTACAGGTCCTTGGGTGAGTGGGTTCTATACGTTGTCCTGGGGTTGTCCAAGAAGAGCCTGTCTTTTGCGATCTAGAGCTTCGCATTCGCACAGTATGTGTTTGGCCGTTTCTGGTTTCTTGTGACATAGTCGGCACATGAGTTCCATTGTACATGCCAATTTTGTTCAAGTGTCCCTTTACTGGGGCATGCCCAGTCATGAACCCTGTTATCACTTTCAACTGGTTCCTATTCATTAAGAGTAGTTCTCCAGTTCTTTTGGGACATGGTCTGCCTATGAAGGCTTTTCCATGTGCCTGTTTTGGGGTGCTTCCCCAATAGTTGATATGTTGTTCCCGAATCCAGTCGTTTATGAAACCCCGGACTGTACTTTTTGGTACTCCTGGGTTTGTGTCTGGTTCCGGTGTTTCTTTTGACCCTCTTTTTGCAAGTTCGTCACCCTTGTTCCAGCATCGGGAATAATAAACAGGAAAAGAATCTACATAGATCCACATGATACATATGACTCAGTAATAAACCATTAACTAGCCTGTTTTACAGTACATACTGCATGATAAATACGAGAAAGACCTGTATTAGATCCCCAGACATTAAATCATATACATGACTCAGTTATAAACTACTAACTAGCTTTTATCACAGTGTATACTGTGTATTTTTTAATGATGATCGATGGAGTATACATATTTTTATAATTTTGTTTTTAAGTTTGTAATCCTCGGATGACGTAGACTCATCCCCCGTTGTTAAAATGTTCTTTGATTTACCCACTTACCTATGTATTTTTGATAATAATGAAAACAAATTATTTACGAATAACCACTTGCGCACGAAAATAAAGAATGACGTAAGAGTGTATCTGAGTACGAGGGAACGGGAGCAGAGGTGGGAAGAACTGGCAGTTGTTTCAAAATACTTTTGAGAGTATATTCGCGATTCAAGCTAAGTGATACGCCCTCTGGAGGAAATTAGTAAAAGGTCCCTATAAGTAGGATGACGTTCAGTGTTGCCAGAAGCAGCAAAATTTCGTTACGTCGTCGGATTTTAGTTTTTGAAGAATGGATAAGACCTTTTATTTAAGAATCAAAATTTGTGTCTAGTAATATGTAATCATACTATTTATTTAAGGATTTTTTTATAAAATCGATTTATTATATTGATTTTTTTTTTAAATATCAGTTCATTTATTAATTTTAGTTTTAAAATCAATCAGATACAAAATCAGTTCATCATTTGGCAACATTGGCGTTCGTGTTCATTGTTTACATTTTAATTTGTATCAATTACAATTAGAGTTTTTTGTTACTTTTTAGCTTTAAATTTGTTTATTTCTTATAGTATGTGATAGTATTTAAATTAAAAATGAAATCTGCGAAAAAGCCTCCAGAAAATTGCAATCTGTATGGTGTTATTGTCAAAATCAAAACTGGAGTATTCATTATTTTTCAAGTGCAAGTCATAAAATTCTGTTTCTTACGATAAATGGGTATCTACAAATTCACAATATTGAAATATTGCAAAACGTTGTTTAGAATCAAACTCCAATATGAGTTGTGACGGTTTTATTACCATTTACATGTATACAAAGTACTACACAATTCACTTCATGATATAAGAATAAGGATAGTAAGATGTTTAAAGAAGTTCATCAATAATAAACGTTTGGTACCTGATATGTCCTTTAAACCACATAATAAAACATGTCCTGGGTTTAGTAAATACATATTTCTAGATGTTCTTGTAGCAACCAATAGGTCAATATTTCCAACAAATTAGTTCGTACTACACATGAAAAATTACATTTATAACGAAAGCACGAAAACTAAACTTAAATTAACACTAAATGAAACTCAAAAACACTATTATAATAAGAATATTATCTAAAAACAGTTAAAAAATCACAAATACAAAATCCCACAACACGTAAATAAACAAACATCCTACTTATACGTGACAAATGACAGGCGCGCGAAAATTAATTTGAATCGCGAATAGACTTTAAAATTTAATAAATAAACGTTGCCACACAGCGGGAAAAGGGGGTAGGTACTACCTATGACCATTGAGAACAAGGCGTGGAATATAATTATTATCCAACAAGCAAGTAGTTGCATTATTTTTGGTTATGTGGATGTAAAAAAGTTCAATAAGCAAGTACCTGATAATACTCAAATGACGTAAATAGTTTATCTCTGATTTGTGTTTTAATAATTGCATCTTTATAATATCATGGAGATAGATAATAAAAATGATAATTTATACGAAATTAAATTTCGATATGAACTGGGAACAAATCCACTGCTAGACGAGTTCTAAATAATATAAAGATATAGGAAAATGTACCTATATGAAAAAATAAAATGAAGTAACCTATATTGTTGTAAAAAGGGGAAAAATAACTACAACTTTGGAAATTCTTTGGTAACCTAATCAATAGAAAACAAAATACAAATAACTAAGTTGGTGGACACACATTTATTCCTGGGCTCTTTTAAATCTTGTCTCGATAACACTGTGTCAGTATTAACTTAATGTGTTTCTATTCATAGTACCTACTCTGTCACCTTTGTACATTTTTGAAAAAATGTTGTTCCAAAAAATACCTGTCTTGCAATTCAAGGCTCTCCATAAACGCCAATTTTGTTCAGGTGTCTCTCTACTTACTTTTATATGTTACATTAATCCTGTTATTATGCATAGATGGTAGGAATCTGGAGTACCGCAGGACTCTGTTTTAAGGCTCACTCTCTTTTCTATTTATATTTCTGATTGTAAAAAATCAATATCGGTACTCACCTTCCCTATTGAAATTAAACTGGTTTAAATTTATTCCCATGCAGCAACCGCATATCATATTTTGACAGGTGCAACCATTGCTGCGAAACCCGATCCGTCTTATTACTTTTTTTGGAACAATTAGGTTATTTTTTGTTACGTACTTCGGTCCTACCAGCACATTTTCGACGGAAGTCAGCCTACTGGGTTGCTTGGTCGCTGGGTCATAATAAATGGAGGAATATGAAAATATTTCATCTGAAAAATTAGAAAGAGAAAAACATTAATTTAGCTTTTAAATGTATTATATTTATTTATTTATTTATATTTTGAGAACCAGTGTAGGATTTAAAATATTATATTCTTTATTGAATACGGTAGCGTAGGTGTCTATGGCACCGCATTCAATTGCTAGCCAATTTTGTGGTAAAACAGACACGGGTTTCGAATCGTACAGAAGCCCATGTGGATTTATTTGCTATGATTCTCTATAGGATTTGATGGATGCCGTATTAGTAGATATTTAATTTCTGTTGATGTAACATCCAGATTATAAAAATCGCCATGCGTTACCGTTTTCGATGATGGTGGGTGAGGTTTTCCGGCTTTGCCTAATGGGGTGAATTAGGGAGATATTATTATTATTACTAACTATAAACTAGGAAACAAGATAGTATAAAGAAGAAGTATAAACTAGGCAGGAATGGATAATTACTTATTAAATTACTAATTAATATTAATCAGAAATGTACAGTTATATTAATAGTTAAACATACATTATCTAATTATTGCTAATGAATTATTAGCATATTATACAGGGTGTCCAGAAACGCTCTTTAAAGAATGAAACCACGAAATCTAGAGCTGATTTTATGACTATTTAGCCTAAATTACCTTAATCTAAAAATGCTTTCTAAGGGAGCTAGAGCTCTTTGACATCGATTTAATTGAAATACCTTCAAAACGGATTTTTATTAAATGATATTATTCTGTACATTTATTTACTTGAATCTAACCAATTAAATTTCGTAAATAAGATTTTTTTAATGTAGTCATCAGCGGCTCGTTTGGGTGGGGTATTGGATATTTTTATATAATTATTTTTTTCTTTGAAAAATTCGCCATTTTGAAATCATATTTAAAAAATTTCGTAATTTTCACACAAAAATGATGCTTCTGTCTGAAGTCCCCATGACCATCCGTTTTCGAGAAAAATCGATTTAAACTTTTCATGTTTCCATTGACTAACAAATACATTTCTAAATTAATTATGATAAGATGACTGGTGTTTCATACCGCAAGTAAGCTTGTGTTACTTATTGTTTGGAATTATCTTAATTTCTAAAATATTAAAAGTTAAAGATGGTTCAGTTTAGTAATGAAGAATATGCTGAAATGCATTAGTGTATGGTGAAATGCAATGTAAAGCGCTGGCAGCGTCACATAGATATGCCGAGAAATTTCCAAATAGGAGACATCCTGTTTCAAAAACATTCACAGTTCTTTATCAAAGACTTAGGGAAACAGGATCTATAATTCCTAGTAACAACAAAACTGGTAGACATGCTGACGTATTCGAGGAATATGAGAATGATATTTTAATGGAAATTGAGGATAACCCTGAAATTAGCATAAGAAGATTAGCGGCAATGTATCCTAACCCAGCCAGCACAAACATTGATGGAAAGTTAGGCAACGTTAGTTTTAATGCCTCATGTAAACATTTCAAGCTGATATTGTAGCAACCGCACTGTAGCGTTTCTAACCGACAATTAAACGTTACATTGCATTGTTTTTGAGAAATATACCGGATTCATTTTAAAAACATTTCGAAGGAACATTTTTTCAAGCTAAATAAAAAACTTCCCAACGACATTTCGTTAGTGCATTTATGACAACATTACCATGAAATGTTGTTGAAATACTCATGGAATATTACTTATAAACGCGAAAAATAAATGCGCAAATTAATATTGCAGATACGTTGTGGTATATTGAATGGTAATGTTACCTGTAAATCGTCCTTAAAGGTTGCTGGTATATTGATGGTTTATTATTGAAAAATTCCCTAACCTCAATTTATTTTTGCCGCGGTGATGGTGTCGCCTATTTTGCTGATTGAAGATTGAATGTTTAAGGCCTGTGTTGATGGAAGGCAACTTTTTTATAATTTTCATTGTTTGTTTTTTACTTGTTTTAATAGTGATCATGCACTTTCGTGCATCTTTGCTGGGTAAGTAGCTACAAACATTCTACAAATGTACAAATCAATTAAGAGCATTTCTGCTCGTTTTAGAAGACGCCTTATAAGCAGAAATTATTATTAACCACAAAAACCGAAGAGGTCAGGTAAGTTCTTCTGAACTGGTTTTTGTTGAAAAACAAAATCTAGAGGTAGCCGCCTATTGTAACTCACACGACACACAGGAAGCCAATTGTGCTCTCCCATTAGGGGATCCCATTTTTTCTGCCTGTCAGTATATTTTGACATAAATATAAACATTAACCATTACATTCTAATCTAAATTAAATCTAATTTTAACTCAAGTAACTCTTACTTTCAGATAAAATTTTTAAAATATGTTGGTGGCCACGATGCCAAAGATTGGACCTACAGGTTATTGAAATCCATAATGACTGTTACTTTAGCTCAGACATGCTCATGAACTGGGCGCAAAAACAATTTTGAAATAAGACATCTCAAAATTTTTGATTTATTATATTGTAGAAGTTGTGTAAAAAGGTAAATCCTATACGAAAAAATTAAACCCCAAGCCAATTTATTTTATTTTTACCCTATGTCAGTCAATAGGGTAAACATTAGTATTATTTTCCTCTCAAAAAAGTAGATCATATTTCAAAATATTTTTCTATTCCAGGAGTGGTGAACCAGAAAATATCATCATGTACCGCAAAAGATTTTGAGAATTATGTCGCAGAGTAGCTACGATATGCACATACCCGAAAAGTCCGAAAAGAGAAAACAAGGAAAAAAATTATAAGTTGCAATGTGTGTTATTTTAGACTTGTTTTATTGAATATGATTTAAAATATATTTATAATGTATAACATGCATATATATGTTTTACAATATAGTGTTATATTTGTTTTTTCTTTACTTTACCTTATTCATGTTTAGTTCATAAAGATGTACACGTAATCATGGATTACTAATGTACATATTTTAAAAATCTTACTAAATCTGGAACTTTTTTTGTCAATAACATATTTACGACTGGAAATGGTATGAGTGGAGGCGTTAGACGTTTCCGTAATAACCAATCATTAATGTTAAGAATGGGATCCAAACTTTTCAATTAGTTTAAAGTTTTTAGCTATTTTTTGCCATTTCCTTTATTTGTGTTTAATATTGTTTTACAAATATGCTTATACTCTTTATTAGGCTAATTCCTTTCTTATAGTAACCAAAAGACATTTTAACAAAGCCCCAATTTTGAGATTAATAAAATTTAGGAAAACTAAATGAATAATTATTAATTTTTTTAAATGTTAATAATCTCAAATTTCAGCAAGTTTTAAAATATCTTTCGATCACTATATAATTTAATAGTTAAAAAAAGTATAAACACAAATAAAGAAAATGGCAAAAAATTTGCTGAAAACTTCAAACTTGTTGGAAAGTTTGAATCTCCTTCTTATGTCCATTTGAAATGTTCCAGGTATATTTAAATTGAAATGTTTTGGCGCACACATAAATTTACATTCCTTAAATAGTTATTCACAACATAGTAGAAAGGTTTCACTACGCCTTTCTAGGGTGGTTCGAATATCTCTAGAATATATCACTGAAACTTCTATGCAATATTTTATTAAGGGCTTATGAGGCGGACATTTCAATGTTTCAGAAACGTTGTGGCATACATACAAATAACATTGCTTGCGAGGTTTAAAGGCGTGTTGTAACATTTAGTTACTTTCCAGAAATGTTGCTGTGCTGGCTGGGAATATTTCTACATCATCTGTGTGGAATTTTATCTATCGGGAAAACTTGTACCCATTTCATTTTAGAAAAGTTCAGGCTCTTAATGATGGTGATTTTCCTGCCCGTGTGGCCTTTTCTATTTGGTTACGAATGCAAGAAAATCAAAATCATCACTTCTTTTTAACCATTTTGTTTTCTGATGAAGCTATTTTCACAAGAGATGGATTTTTTTATATGGATAATGCACATTACTACTCTTATGTTGGTTATAATCCTCATAATATAAAAGAAATTAAACATCAGGAAAGATATTGGTGTCCTTGGTGACAATTTGCTTGGGCCTGTAGAATTGCCCAATCGTTTAAATGGTGAGAATTATCGCGACTTTTTACAAAATACTTTACCAGATTTATTGGATAACATTAATTTAAATATTCGACAGAACTTGTGGTATTTACATGATGGTTGTCCAGCTTCACTTTAGGAGGAATGTTCGTGAGTTTTTAGACAATAATTACATAGACCGATGGATAGGAAGAGGCGGTTTCGTTGCTTGGCCAGCGAGGTCTCCGGATTGAAATCCATGCGATTTTTGTGTATGAGGATATCTCAAATCAATGGTTTATTCGCAACCAATTAAATCACGGAATCACCTTTGGAGACGAATTCAGAATGCTTGCAACGAATTTAGAAATAATATGGGAATTTTTGCAAGAATTCGGCGATCTTTACGGAAACGAATACATTTGTGCGTAAAAATGGATGGCCGTTATGTGGAGCATCTGCTTTAGATTTAATTTTGTGTTTAATACTTTCAGTTATCATTTCGTTATTATTTTTTTTTAAACAAATTGTATCAACAGAAACTTTACTGTTTACATGAATTTATTTTTTTACTTCAGAAAAGCACAGTTATTAATTGAAAACATTTTTTTGATTATCTACCTAAAGTTTGGTAAAAACAGTTTAATAAGTATTCATAAAATAATTCTTAAGTATTTTCTTTATTTTCCATGGCCACCTTATCATAATTTTGATATTTATTTGTTAATCAATGAAGACGTATGTAAAGACATGAAAAGTTTAGGTCGATTTTTCTCGAAAACGGTTGGTCATGGAGACTTCAGACAAGAGCACCATTTTTGTGTGAAAATTATGAAATTTTTTAAATTTTATTTTAAAGTGGCGATTTTTCGAAAGACAAAAAAAATTGAATAAAAATTTCCAATACATCACCCAAACGAGCCGCTTATGACTATATTAAAAAAATCTTATTTACGAAATTTGATTGGTTAGATTCAAATAAATAAATTTA